GAGACCTATAAATAAAACACTGAGAACTCATCTGCGCTCCAATGTTCACTGCAGCACTATTCATGGAGTCTCACTTGATGTATCTGCTGTAAATCTTATGGGCTTTCCTTTGTATATAAGTTCCTTTTTTGGTCTTGCTGCTTTTCATATTGTGTTTATCTTTGGATTTTGTCATTTTGTTTTATTTATTTATTTATTTATTTTTGCATTTTGGGTCACACCTGGAAATGCACAGGGGTTACTCCTGGCTCATGCACTCAGGAATTACTCTTGGTGGTGCTTGGGGGACCATAAGGGATGCTGGGAATTGAAGCCCTGTTGGCCGCGTGGAAGACAAGCATCCTACCCGCTGTGCTATCGCTCCAGCCCCTGAATTTTGTCATTTTGAATAAAAGGTGTACTAAAGTTTTCTCAATTAAGTCTATTTTCACTGGAACCCTTCTGGTCTCTTGAATCTCAGTGCCTGTAATCTTCAACTCTGGGAAGTTCTACTCGATGATATTTTAAACTATTGTTTCTTCACTCAACTTGCCTTCCTTTTCTTCAGGGCCTCTGAGGATTCCTATGTTGCTCCTCTTGAACTCATTCCATAGTTCTCTGGTATGCTGTTCATTTCTTTTCAGATGACCTTCTACCTTCTGCTATTTCTCAGAGTTTTCATCCTCATCTTTGAGGGCCTTGATTTTTTGGCTCAGCTTCTGTTATTCTGCTGTTCAGAATGTCTATTAACTTCTTAATTATCACCTACCATGTACTTCATTTCTGATTGTCGTAGTTTTTCATTTTGACCCTTATACTTTCTTGTGTGTTGCTGACTGTCTTTGATGTCTGCCAACAATGGCTCATCTGTTGGGAGCCGGGGGAGTGGCGGGGGAATGCTATTGTATTGAAGAAATGGCCTCTGAGACCACTGATGATGATCTATAGCTCTGACAACCCATGTGTGTTTGTCTTCTTCTGTGTGAGTTCATCTCATTCTTGGGACTGAGCCCAGCTAGACAGGGGTTGAAGGTACCAATTTCATTTTTTTAAGATAGTTCAAGCTTGCTGGGAATCCACAGCTGTTATTTGTGCTCCCTGAGTGAAACCCAATACCCATGCTGTATTACTGCTCCTGATACAGTGCTCAACATATTGGGCTAGGCAAAGGCAAAAGAAGGAGTTGGGGGAGGGGAACTCATATTCCCAATTACTCCTGGGAAAAAATTTACATTTTTACTGGCAGTCAAGTCTAGTACGAACATGAAAACACACATAAAATCATGCCCGGCTGTCAACTGGAGGAGAAGCTTGGTTTAGGCTAAATCAGTCTTGTCTTATTCTTAGATCCATTCTCTGCCCACCTGCTATGGGGACAGTGACACAAGCATCAATCATTATTCCCCATCTTTTTTCCCCCAAGTTGTGCCTTGAGTTCTTCATAATGCAGCAGGTTAGCTGCGACACAGAAGGGGAGGAGGACTGAATTTAGTTTCATCATGATGGACTCAGGGACTCTATTTTGATGGGTCTAGGAATTCTAACCCATTTGACTAATGATCGAAAGACTAAGGTTGATTTCTGCTACATAACTGCATTCCAAAGTGTCAATTAAGATCATGCAAGAAGTACTTGTCTTAAACCACTACAGTTTTACCTATGTTTAAAAAAAGATATGGCTTACAGATGTTCATTAATAATGTAATTTTACTTACAGCCATCCCTCTGATAGGAGCAAATTGTCTCCTTACATAGTGCCGGGTCAGGCCAGCTTTTTACTATCCTTATTAGAAGAGGAAGTTGTAAATCCCAACTTCTGTTAGTAATTCACCCTTAGATTCACACAGCTAGCACCGAGGATTCACACAGCTATCACAGAGGATTGCTCTTAAATTCTTTCCTTCTGACTCTTACAAATTTTTAACCCTTCCTTTGTCCAACAGTCTGTGGATGATGTTTTCTTAAACTATATAATATTATTATTGTAAGTTGCTGATTTAGAGACTAAGAGAACCAGCACAATTTTGAGGAGTTTTGCAAATAGTGACTGCATGGGGTCCCAGATTCAAGTCATGCAGCCTCGATTGCAATTTGTCCCATTCTCCTAAAGGGTTCAGTACATCTTCCTACCAGGATGCGCAGAAGCACCTGGTGCTGTGGTCAAGGTCATCGGACTCCAGGAGCCACAGGGCAGGGCTGGAGGAATAGGCTGAGGTGGCAGCTGTTTAGGGCAGGGTATAAAAGGCAGGGTTTCCACAAGATCGAGCATGACCCGCACAGGGCATTCATCCTGCTCTCCCCAGATGACTAGCAGACACCCCCACAGGACAGTGGCCCTTTCCGCCACTCAGAGCTGAACGCTCCACAGGTTAAGAGTCTTGTTTCTACAAAATGGAGCCAGCTGGCACCCTGTCCCCATATGGGATATCATCCTCCAAGCAGGCCAGACCGACTCTTCAACAGGCCACTCTTCCTGCTCCCCAAACAGCCTATATGAACCCGGGCCTCCCCTTTCTCCGGTCTTTTTCCATTTGACTTGTTGCCATCTTTCTTCTCCCCGAACCCGAGAGCTGAAAACATGGCTTATTCCTTCTTGTTTGGATGCAGAGATCTTTCGTCTTCCCCAGACCTCCTTTGGTAACTCAGGGGGAACTGTGGGGTTCAGGGAAGGGCATTGTGCTGGGGTGGGCCCAGGGCTCAGGTGCAGAAGGACAGGTCAGAGCCCTGCGGAGTGTTTGTGTAGGAACCATCAGGAACTGTCCTCCTGGCTTGGGACAGCCCCAGCACACCTTTCATTGACCCACATTGGTGGACAGGCCTCATGGCCTGAGCCGTGAAGTGATTTCCTTGCTGAGGGAGAGCTAAGTGTGGGCTTCTCTTTCCCCCTAGGAGGTCGGCCGTTGGCTGAATGTTTCTGATGGTTAACCTTTGTCCCTCCCTTCCCCTGCTGTCATTGCTGCCCTCTCTGGGCTGTGGTTGTGTTGCTTGCTGTGGCTGGGGTGCTTGGCGGGATTTGCCCACTTGTGCTGCTCACACCACGTGGGTGTAGTGTGCCGGGGTCTCTCCCTTATTGTGGTGGTGAGGCTCAGCTGTGTGGGGTCGGGGTCATATTCAGAGATGCTGGAGGTGCTGGGAATCCAGGGCTGGCCTTCACATGGGCAGTGGGTGCTGTGCCACTGAGCTGCATCCCTGGACCCAGAGACCTTTTCACCCCCTGATCCTGCAGGACCCACCTGGTTCCCACTAGGGCTTGGGGAGTGTTTTATCAACTATAGATCTCTGTTCTCAGTTTCTTCTTGTGTAGCCTATATGAGGAACAGGTTCATTTATAGTTATTTCTTTTCCTCATTCAAATGACTATTCAATTGTCCTCAAGCCATTGATTTTAGAAGTATTTTTAATCAATTTGTTTTTCTCTTTTTGCTTGGGTAGGTTTCTAGACATTCTGACCCATATCAGCAGTCCACCCATACAATTAAATGGTCTGTGTGACCCCCAATCTCTCTGTCTCTGTCTCTGTCTCTGTATCTCTCTCTCTCTCTCTCACACACACACACACACGCACACATCACCCTCACCTCACCATTCCTCCCTTTTCCTCTTCTTCCCCCCTTCCCTAGATTTTCTGTATATTTGTTTTCTTTCATGGACTTTTTACCATCTTGTCTCTCTCTCTGGAAAATCATGCCACATTGTTAGTATTTTCATGGGAAAAGTATTACATTATTAAACATTATTAACATAAAGAGAACTGGTCTCTAGGTGATGTTAAGAATATTGGATGTGTCTTATCCAAGAAGCACATCTTCCATAGCTCTGGTCTAACCCTGCATTCATAAGAGATATGTTAGCTTTTTTTATTATAGATTTTGCACGTCTCATTTATTCCTATGTAATATGTATCTTTCATTACCATTGGACTTGCTTTTCTGTGATATGCCTTTACTGTTCTGTGTCTATATATATAGAGGACTTTATTTGTATCTGGGCATCTTGCTGAGTTCTTTCATTATCTGAATTTGTTTATTATGGATTTGCTAGGGTTATGGAGGTTTATTACAAGTACCTGCAAATGCCATTTTAATTCTTTTATCCCTAGTTCTTGAATCTCTTTTCTGTTATTTAATGGTATCATATAAACCCTCCAGGAAAATGGGCAATGGTAATGGGCCTAATTAGCAGCTTTTTGTTAATTTTGATCTGCATAGAAATGGACTGAATGTTTTTCAATTCAGAGTATCATGGTTTTAGAATTCAAGTTTATACTCAAGTTTATATCTTTGTGTTGTATATATCTCCATATTTAGGAAAATACCTGAAGTGTGTGTATATATAATTATATATATAGTAATGTATGTATTATAAAGGTATAAATATGTCTATGTAAGTAGTATACTTCAATCCAATTTCTCAATATATATTATATATACATACCATATCTTCTACCTATATACTTTATAGTTTCTTATGTATCTAGATATTTAATATTTATGTTTCTATTTAGTTATCTATGTATCTTATATTTCAAAACATACATATCTGGCTTTCCCATTCTGAAGAAGCCTGTGTTCTCTTGAATGCATCTCTCTTACCCCCTCACATTTCTAGCTGAATTCCTTTAGATAAAATTATTTTGCTTTACATTTTTAACTATATATCTACCTATTTATGAATTTATGTATCTCCATAGCATGTATGGACCTGTCTATGTGCCTACCTATCTCTATCTACCATCATCTATAATCTGTCTTTATGTCCCTCAATGCTTTCTCCTTTTGGTAGTATTTTGACTGAAATTACCTCTTCTTGAGACAATTTCTAGTTAGAAATCATTTCAAAATTATAGAGGTTTGTAAAAGGAGTTCTGACTCCATACTCCATTCTTGCAGGCTTCCCACAGGTGCAACGGGGGTTGAGGAAGCCCGCCAATGTCAGGTGGCTCGGCTATATTCAAGGTTGTCAAATGTTTTCCTTTCCCTTTCAAATCACAGAAATGCTCGGTTGTAAGGATGGCTGTTTATTATAAGGAGAGATCCCTGGGAAATTAGAAACAGTCCCAAGTCTAAATCCAGAGGTCACCGTCGCTGCACATGCCAGTTTCTTAGACGGGATTAATCACCTTGCCCAGGAAAAGAATGCTCCAGGAGACTTTGTCAAAGACCATGACGAGGAAGGGCCGGTCAAAGCGGATGATGGCAGGTCTGCGGTTCCTGTACATGCTGTCATTTGTGGGGACCTCTGGTTTCAAGCCTTGCTCCATGATTTCCAGCTGGGCCGCATGCAGCACCTGTTGGGTATGAACCATAGGAAATGGCTATGAACCAAGGAAAAAGGAAAATAATCTCTATTCCCAGATGTGTTCCTGTCGGGGGTGGGGGAGTAATGGGAGTAATGAGTCAGTGACTGGGAAGTTCAGGGTGTGATGAAAAAGATAATGAATTCTGGAGTCAGCACAAACAGGGCTTGGAAGGAAACCTGAGCAGGCTTTAGAGAAGCTCACGGAGGTTCCCGTGCTCTGGGGTGGGGCTTGGGAGCCACAAGCCGGGTCACCAGGTGGGTGCTGGGAATGAGGCCTGAGCTCAAGCCCAGGGCAGAGGGGGACTCTGCTCTAGGACTCTGCAGCCCTGGTCAGTGCCTGGACCTCCTGAGAGATCCTTCCAGGGACAGGCCAGCACTGTCTGTAGGAGGAGGGGCCATCATGAATTGACTGAACATCTCCGGGCTATGAGTTCATGTGTGGGCAATAGGAGATTACTGCCCCAAGGTGTTCTCCAAGTCCCCTGAAGGCTAATAGTTTAGTCATCCACAGGATTGTCAGATCTCTGAGGGAAGGACCAGCAGAGCCATGGGGACACCCCCAGTGCCCTAGAGAGCTCTTTTGGGATGAATGGATGAAGAGGAGAAGGATGAAGACAGTGAGGCAGTGGGTGGTGGCACAGTGGGAATTTTCCAGACATCTCCACTCTCCATCCTCTTTCAGGGCTGCACATGTCCCTCCTGATCGCTTCCTTTCCCTAGTCTCCCAGACGGCATAGGGACATGTGGTGTTGCAGCCTCCCAGACTACCATCCTGCTACATGACCAGGACACTCTCCTTCTCTGGCTGAGCCCTCAGAGAGCCTGCTGTAACCTGGGTTCAAGGCCCAGGACCCGGACACCCACTCAGGGAAAGACCATAGTGGGGCCGCCAGTCACTCTCAGTGTAGACTTGAGAGAGCAGTGAGAGTTACCTTTGACAGCTTCCGTTTGGCATTGCCAGTGATGCCGGTTAGGTCTGTCTGCTCCTTCTTCAAGTCTATGATGTCCATGGACTTCATGATATCCCCGAGGTCATAGGTGCCAGACAGGGAGAGTCTGGGGACGTTGACTTCTACAAGACTGCTCAGGGAAATATGAAGGTTAGACAGTCCTGCAGGGCAGTGCCCTGGTGTTCACACTCCCCCTACCCTGGAATGATCCAGAGCAGCCTGCCTCTGGACTGGGACACACAGAACAGTAAGAGATGAATTTCCCTCTTCCTCCATTTCTCAGACAGCTCCTCTCAGGGGCTCTGGAGCAAACTTTTGTGCCCAGCTCTTCCCTGAGCTGATCCTGCATGTCATCAACTGGTCCCCTAGACACTCAGACACTTGAACAAAGCCTATGGTCTTCCAGTGCCTCCTGGCATGTGGGGAGGAGCAGAGGGAGCACTTGTAGGAACAAGTGGCCCTAACAGGTCCATCACATTCACCTGTTGCCCTCTTATGGCAATTGGCTTCTTTCATAATTTCTTCTCTTTCCTTCTCTCCTGAGAGGAGGAGACTTCTGGAAGCTAAGTAACTGGAAGGCACAGGAACTGCCTCTGCACGGGATAGGACGGCTGGGATATTCTTTTGCTCAGAATCAAATAGATCTGGAGTTTGGTGATGGAGAAATCCTTCTCCAAAGACAAGGGCTTGGAGTAGAACTGAGCAGAACTCTGTGCTCCTTAACTCCTCACAGCCACAGGGACACATTTGTTCCAAACGGGAATCAGCATCTTGAGAACTCATGCGAGTTTCCCAAGTAAGAATCTGGAAACCAGTCTCTGTGATCTGACAGCCCCTGGGGCTGGCATAGGGGACATGGGCCATTGGCAGCTGGGTGTCACAGGAGGGTGAGTGGAGTGGAATCTTGCAGGCTGTCTCCTGGGGCACTGGAAAGTAAAGGCAGGGGGAGTTGAGAATGGGGAAGTTACAGAATGGGCAAGGTGGAGAGGAGAGAGGCTGACTCCTGGTGACTTCCGCCCCCTGGTGTCCCCACACTCTAATTACAGGTTCCTTAAATGCTGTGGCTGAGAGGAGGGGAGGGGACAGGTGGAAGAGTGAGGGGGTGTTATCCATGGTGGTGGAAAATGGGCACTGATGGAGGGATGGGTATTTGATCATTGTATAACCGAAACGCAAGCACAAAAATTTATAAATCTACAACTGTACCTCATGGTGTTTCACTAATAAAAAAAATAAACATAAGTAAACATGAAAAAAAAAGAGTGAGCGGGTGGCAGAGGAACCCCAGAATAGCACAAACACACACCCATATGCACTCTGACCTCCCACACCCCTACCATGCCACTCAAGGCAAGAAGTGATGCTCCCTGGACTATGAGGACTACGAGCTCAGTGGAGGAAATGCCTCCAATGGTTCCTTCATCCCTTCCTGCTGCATTATTCACTCCCACACTGTGCTAATACTCTCCATGTATTCTATGGCCATCATGTGCTCCAGAGGTGGGTCCTTCTTGGCTGACTTTCCTCCTGACCCCAGGCCCACAGCATACTTACTTCTACTAGCTACTCATTCCCTGAAATTCTTACTTATTTTCAGATTGATTTAAGACTCATTCTGTACCCTGAATGACTTATAAAATCAACCATAGGCATTGTGTAAGATCCATGTTGCCATTTGGGGACTAGTTGATTGTAAAGCTCTCTTGAACAAAACTATGGAACAATACATAGCAGTGTATTTTACCTCTACCATCAAGGGGGGGAGGTGCTCACTTGACAGAAAGCCCAGAAGTGACTCAGTGTAATCTGCAGATCCCTCCTGGTCAGGAGACCTCACTGTCTCTGGGGATCACAGTAGACAGGAAAATATGTACCCCAGAGAAAGGATGCAGTTACCTGGTGACGATGGACTGGGACCACCTAATCAGAGTATCCTGGGTCAGTTCATGAATGAGCCTGTCCTTATTATCCCCATGCTGTAGGACGAACAATGTGGTTCTGTTGCCTACATTGTCCAACTGTAGCGCCGTGCAGTCCAGTATTGGGTCATACAGGAAATTGAAGACGCTTGTCTGGGTCATCATGGGTACCTTAACTATGGTCTTGTCATCCACAAAGAAGTTCTCCTCCTTGGTGTTGTCTGGGTCAAAGGGTTTTGTCCAGAGGCCTATGAAAGAAGTGGGTAGAGGAAGGAGGAGGATTGCAAGAGGTTATTCAGAGCTGGGGTAAATACTCAGACAGTGGAGGGGCCCCTTCTGATCTGATAGTGTCCTGGTGAAGTATGGATGCCTAGAGACAGGCTGGGGGACCCTTCACCCTCTTGATGGATGGTAGCTGCTTCTACAAATAAATAAAATAATCCAACATTGGTTTCTACAGAATATAAAGAAATTCACCATCCTTTATTTTGTAGAATAAAGGAAGATTTTGTCTTGTTTTGAAACCCTCCTTCATACCTCTCCCCAACTGTAGTGTATCCAGAATGTGCTCCTTGATCTAAGAATAGGAAATCATCTTCCTAGGGGATGAGAATGGGACATGGGGAGGGGTAAGGACTATCCACACCCTCCCTGTCCCTGCCAGCCTGATCACAGTTGCTCAGCAGGTGGCCTGCACAATCAGTCGCACTGTCTACCCGGGGGTGATTCCTGACCCCAGAGGGACCCTTTTTCTGGAGGCAGATAAGGTGTGAGAAGATGCCTCTGAGCTTCAGGCTACAGGCGCTTGCCCTATTTCTACTTGGGTCACCCACCGTCCTGTTCATGATGTCACGCGAATGTTTGTCCTTTCAAGATCAGGATCTCATTCCCTTTGCAGATGGGACTTTCAAGCTTCCTAGCAATGAGGGAAGAATGTGAATTCTGTGACCTCTCCATCCCACTGAAGCCATGGCCACAGAGTCTCTCCTGTTTCCTATAAATTTGACTGTTCAAAGACAGGAGTCATGTCTCCTCAGGACTTCCTTGGCATTGGGTTAAGCCTAGTCATGGTTCAAGAAGACCAAGAGGGACTAAAGTAATAGTCCAGTGGGTAGGGTGCTTGCCTTGCATGCTTCTGATCTGGGTTTGATCCCTTGCATTCCATATGGTCCCCCAATACCCACCAGAAATGATCCCTGAGAACGGAGCCCAAAGTAAGACCCAAATAATACTGGGCCCAAAAACAAAATGAAAAAGGAAAGAGCACCAAAATTCTTTTGTGGAGGATCCGAGGGGGTCTTGCTGCACTTGATCTCAAGTCCAACAACTCTTTAATCTCAGAAGGGGCTGACAAGGCTGACCATTGTGCAGGTCTATAAAGAGATCTGATCTGTCATACCTAGCTGTGGGGCCAAGGCTGGAGGACGCCCTGGACCAGTGTCCCTCCTAAGGACTGTTCAAAGAGACCCCAGCACATGTTCAGGACCAGAGAGAAGACCTGGAAACTGGGACGATGTCATGCTCCTCCTTACTATGAGCAACAATTTTCTGGGGACTGACTCACCACCAGTAAGACCATTCCAGACTTCTCAAGACACCATAAAATGCCTAGTAAGTAGCATGGGGAAAAAGACCCTTGGCTTGGTTTGGCATAATATTTTGGATATGATAACCAGAATCACAAGTAACAAAAGCAAAATAAATCAAACAAAGATAGTCAAAGGATTGTATGCAATCAAATTAAAAATATACGTATATGGGGCTGGAGAGATAGCACTGCCGGTAGGGCGTTTGCCTTGCACATGGCTGACCCGGGTTCTATTTCCAGCATGCCATATAGTCCCCCGAGCACCGCCAGGAGTAATTCCTGAGTGCAGAGCCAGGAGTAACCACTATGCATCACCCGCTGTGACCCCCCCCCAAAAAAGCAAAATATATATATATATATATATATGTATAAAGAAAGGTGCTCTAAACATAAAGTAATAGAAAAAGAAATAGGATAAAATTCCAAGGAATAGGATAAAATAATTTCAATTCACATACTAGTGTTTGAGCATATAAACATTTACTATACAGCTCAATACCACAAAATAATTAACCTAATTAAAAATAATGATGGTACTAAATAAGAATATAATTCAAATGCCCAACAGGTATAGGAGATGAAATTCATTACCATTAACCACCATAAAAAATTCAAAACAAAATATGACACCTCCCAGGCCCCCTCCCTCAAAAATCAGTACTTGTTTCCACTTCTCAGAATGGCTTGTATAAAATAAAAAAAAAGAAATGTAGGTTCTGGCAAATGTAGAGAAAAGGAATCCTACTTCATTTTTTGTTGAAAGATAACTTGGTGCCACTTCAATGAAAACCATTGTGTAGTTTCTCAAAAATTAATGAAAAAAGACTCTATCATATGATCCAGCAAATCCACTCTGGCAATTTACCTGAAGAAAAGAAACTGGAGTATGTCTCTTGTAGAGACATCTGCACAACCATGTTCACTGCATTATTCACGAGAGTCAAGGCTTGGAAACAACCTGAGTGCCCACAGTGGCTAAGTGGATGAAGAGGTGGGGGAAGTCAGTGCTGCATGGGAATTTCTGATCAACAGGGCACTGCTGACATGATGGTGTACCTGATACAGAGGCAGCCCAGGGGGCCATGCCAATGGACTGCAGCCGTGATTGGCAGGGCAACATGTGGTATCAAGGATAGAACTGGGGTCAGCTGCATGCAAGGCAAGTGTCTTAACCTCTGTACTCTCTTTACAGCTTTTACTCTTATTTCTTTCTTTCTCTTCCACCTGCCATTCTTTGAAGATGACTTCTTGGTGGTTACAGTAACTTGGTTCCAGAATAACATGTTCCTCTAAGACAACTGGTAAAATGAAGTGCTGGAAACCTACTATTTGAGAGGGAAAGATTTGCATGAGGGAACCATGGGAATCTTCATGGAATGTTTAAGTGTTGAGCTAATATCTGAAGGTTGGAGAAAGTGTTAGGTGTAGTCATGAGGATGGAAGACCAGGTATAGAAGGGACAAGGGTGCCAGATCTCAGAAACTCATGGTTTAATACCTGAAGCCTGTGAAGATGTTAGTTAATGGTTGGTATTTAAGGGTGCCAATATACTGATCATGAAATAAAATTATTCTGCTTTATTCAGGCTGACCTAGTCTAATTACAGGTCCTTGAAAGTAGAGGAGACAGGAGACTTGCAGACACGGGCAGAGGTCAGAGTGATGTGATGGATTGGGAGAGTGATAGAGTCGCCTTGGGTGAGGACCACAGCTATTGTAACTAGAGTAAGGTCCCATTTCATTCTATAGGAGTATGATTTCCAACCCAGCAGATTTCCAACGTGATCAGGACCAGAGAGATAGTACAGAGTAAGATGTTTCCTCGCATGTATATGGCTGACCTGAGTTCAACATCTGGACCCCATGTAGTTTTCTACGCACCACCAGGATTGACCCCTGAGTCAAAGCCAGGCTTAATCCCTGGGCACTGAAAAGTGTGTTTCCTCCAAAAAGCAACCAACCAAGCAAAAAAGTTGTCAGGAGCGAGAATTTATCAAAAAAATACAAGTTCTAGACTTTTCCCAGGATACTTTGCTTCATTATATCTCGTGTGGGCTCTGGAACCTAACAGCATATATTCCTGGTGATTTTTATGAATGGGCACTTTAGAAAATTCTGCTCCAACCTGATGAGGAGAAACTTCAGTTTGCTTGAGATAGACAGAGCTGGCTGTGAGCTTAGGAAAAGCGGGTGATAGAGGACTGAGAACTCCTGTGGTGGGGCTGCCTGTTCCTCAGTTGTATTTCTACCCTCTGGTCTAGTTCCAGAGTCACAGCCAAGCTCAGCCAATGTCTGTGAGGCTGCCAGATGTTTGTGGTTACATGTCTGGGACCTTGAACTAATGTCTATGAGTTCGGGCATGCTCTCAACCCTTTTCGGCCCCCACCTTCCTAGTACAAAAAAAAGCAATCGTGCGTGTCCTGTGTTTTGTACAATCTAATACTATCCAACATACAAGCATCATTTTGATGGCTTTAACTGTTTTCATCAGTTGCAGACAGGATCCTATCAGAATGGGAAGGTAGAGATTACCTGTGGAGTAGATGTAGTTGAGCAGCGTGAGGGGGGTTGGGTCCTTCAGCTTCGAGAGCAAGTCTGAGATTTTCCCCCTTGTCTTCTCTTTGATATATTCATTAATTTGGCTGCTGCCTCTGTCCCAGTTTTTGAAATCTATAGCCACATTCTCCAACCCATAGTAGCGCTTGAGGTCATCTGAGGATAAATCCATAAGCTTCAGGCTCTGCTGGAAGAACAATGTGTTTCCCATGCTCATTCCCAAACTGTCATCCAACTGCCGGAGGAGTTGGTAAAGTTGCTGGAAACTCTGGAGAATATCGGCCTTGGGAATTGGACTGTGGTTGAAGCCAGAGCCCTGAAGGATCTGGGTGCCTGTCTGGTTACCAGCGCCGAGGACCATCATAGACAAGGCCATAGAGATGCTTATAGGGGAGAAGATGATATTCTCATCAGGAGCCAAGCTCTGTAGGTGCTGAAACAGGCTAAAGGCAAATCCAATGTTGTTTGTAGCTAGTTTCCTATAAGCACCCTTGACGCTCACGTTCTCGTTGGTATCCTGAGCCCGTATGGTCCAAAGGCCACTGGTCATCAGCCAGAGAAGACAGGTGTAAAGCAGCATTGTGCAATACGGCCAAACTCTGCTAAATCAGAAATGCTCGTGAGATGATGTGGGTCTTCTAGGTCAGTGCTACCTATGCAATGGGAGAAGAATATCTCATTTAACCATGATTCATTTTTTTCCTACATGAACTGTGTGACCTAGAACATGTCAGAAGTCTGACCCTCAATTCCCTACTCTAAAGCTTAAGATTATTTGCTTTGATTTCTCAGATACTTAATTAAGAGCTTAATATTGACAGTGACCTTTACTTGTACTGTCATTAAACCTGTAATCACAAGTTAGACAAGATAATTCTAAATTTTAAAGCAGAGGTAAAGTTTCATAAAATTGAATTTGTATTCCATTGAATTATTCAAATTACTGAATGAAGAAAAAGTGCTAACCAGATATTCTATATTCAGCAACACTATCCAATAATGTCTTTCAATGAAAATGAGAGAGGAATTAGGGTCTTTCCAAGTGAACAATAGTTGGAGGAGTTGTCTCTAATATGCCCTGCAACAAATGCTGTAAGGAGAATTTCTTGTTGAAATTAGGAAATACTAGACAGTTATGTGTATGAAGAAATTAAGATCTCATATATTTTTAATACACAGGCAATTATACAAATTGTTAATTTAATTTTAGTTTGTAACTCCACCTTTCACTTTCTGTTTGATTTTACATTTAGTCACAAAAAAATGTTTATTCTGTGGTTTATAACCATATAAATGGTTATTTAGCTTTCATTTCTTAAATGACCAAAGCATACTGGGACAGAACCATATAGGAATAGATATTTTGTTGGTGATTTGTTATGCTGCATATATTCTAATCGGTGTGTTAAGACCTTAAGACATTAATTGTATTTTGTATGGTGAGTAATCAGAAAGGAAATTAAAATATTTTACTACAAAAATCAAGTAAAGGGCCCATAGAGATTGACACAAGTTTAGGTGGTTGCCTTGGAGCTTAGAGGACCCACTTTGATACCTGCACTGAATATGTTTCCCTGAGCATTGCCAGGAGTGATCCCTGAGCACAGAGCCTGGAGTAAGTGCTGAGAATCATTGTGTATGACCCCCAAACAAAATAAAAAGTCAAGAAAATGGAAAAGAGGACAGTAAAGGAGAAAAATAAAATAGAGGGATGAAGTAAATAGTAGAGCAGACAGGGCATTGGTGTTGCATATGGCTGACCCAGGTTTAATCTTTGGCATCCCATATAGTCCCCTGAACCCTGCCAGGTGTGATCCCTGAACACAGAGCCAGGGTTTAGCCTTGAGAAACTCTGGGTGTGACCTCCCCACCAAAACAAACAAAAAAGAAGGAAAAATAAAAACAGAGGAAAATAAAAGTGAGGAAATAGGAAAATACAATTAAGTGCCTCCTTATAAGTAATTCATTTTACTTTTTATCATATATGTTGTTTTTCCTTCCTTTAATGCATTAAATGGGCTGGAGTGATAGCATAGCAGATAGGGCGCTTGCCTTGCACGAAGCCCACCCAGGCCTACCCCAGGTCGATTCCTCTAACCCTCTCAGAGAGCCAGGCAAACTATCAAGAGTATTGTGTCCGCAAGGCAAAGCCTGGCAAGCTAACCGTGGCGTATTCGGTATGCCAAAAACAGTAACAAGTCTCACAATGGAGATGTTACTGGTGCCCGCTTGAGCAAATCGATGAACAATGGGAGGACAGTGCTACAATGTATTAAATAAAAGTAGATAAAATTTCCAGATGAAATATATTGGCAGAAAGTGTTGACAAAACTAGTATACAATTATATGCTGATTGCAAAAGACTCATTTTGCATCCAAAGACTAAAATATAAAACAAAGGTAAAGGACATATAATAAGAATATTCAGAAATAGTGGTGACCATCTCCAGGGAAAGATTTATTAAATGCATTAGGAGAGTGGTTTATCTACCCCAATATCAGGCAAAATAAAATGTCAATAGAAAAGCTATAAGAATTGGGTTGTGGAGCTAAGTTGTGTTATTCATGCACAAGGGCTAGAGGCCAACTTCTAGCACTGCATTGTTTCTTCAAAGCTGCCATGTGGATCACTGGAAACCCCCAGTACTGCCAGACCCATCCTGAACTATCTGAAATTCTTTGGCTGTGTATTACTTAAAGTGGTGCTGGTCTCCCTGAGCACTGCTAAGGGGGTTAAAAAATTATAAGAAGGAAAAACATCATATATGATAAAAGGTAAAATGAAGCAAGAAAGTATAATAGGAGCCAGATAGATGGTGCAGTGGGTAGCATGCTTAGTTTGCATGCAGCTGGCCTTTGTTCAATCCCTGACATCCCAGAAGGTTCCATGAGCAGTTCCAGAATGATCCCTGTGTTCAGAGGCAGGAGTAACCCCCAAGCATTGCCAGCTGTGGCCCCCAAATAACAAAAAAGATGATAATAACAAATATTTATAACTTAAAAATATATGCTCAAAATAAAGAAAATTTAATAGAATTGAAGAGAAAAATAGTGACTTGTACAGTAGTAGTTGTAGGATACCTGAACTCAGTAATTAACAGAACAATGACCCTATAGATAAGCAAGAAAATAGAATACTTGAGTGGTACATTAATTGGATTATATCAGACACATATAAAGCATTCTATCCAACAGCAACAGAAAACATATTTTTTCTTAAGCGTACATAACATTTTCTTGAAGGTGGACTATATCTTAGGATACAGATCAAGATTCAACAATAAAAATAGTTATATGAAGTATCTCCAGTGTCAATGTGATGATATAAATCATTAACAGAAAGAATATTATCATCTTAAGCAAAATAAGCCACAGGAAGAAGGGCAAAGTCCAGGAAATCTCAGTTATATGTAGTTTATATAGAAATAAAGGGAATGCCAATGAGGAATGGGACTGAACCCAGTGCTCTTACAACAGAACTCGGGCGGGGGGGGGGGGGGGTTGGCAGGTGGAGATGGGGCAGTGGGGTTGGATGGAGAGGACCAGAATGACATAAGGAGAGTCATGGTCACTGATGTTGACTTCAATGATGGTGGAGCTGCAAGGATTTGTATACCAAGAGCATAAACATTAACTGTATTGGTTATCTTGATATTAAAAAGACAAATAATTAAAAAATCAATAATAGACAAATGGAAGTAGCAATCTATGGCAGGCGCTTTTCTTCTCTCTCTCTCTCTCTCTCTCTCTCTCTCTCTCTCTCTTTCTCTCTCTTTCCTTTTGGGCATTGTGGTTTATCAGCACGGGTTTGGGGGGCACTCCTGACGGTCCTTGGGCTGTATGTATGCCACCAAGGCATGACTGGAGATGCTGTGGCTGTGGGGGCGGGGCCCTGGGAGTCAAACACAGGCTTGGCTCTTGTGCCACCTGGGTCACTGCTTGCTCAGTACTCTCTGTTTTCCACAATTTAAACAAGGCGAAAGAGCACAGGATCTACTGTTGACTATTTGCTAAAGGCAGCTGAGAACACCATCAGCTGAGGTCAGAACCAGACTGGGAAGTGGTCACTCTGCCCTCAAGGCCAAGATTCCCTGGCCATGGTGGGAATGAGTGGGGATGGTGCAGGGATGCAGGTCCCTGGGCATGGCCCCTCCATGGAATCAGCCCCCTGGGAGGTGGCTGAGAGCCAGCGGGTAAACCAGTAGCCTGAGGCAGAGGGAGGTCAGTCCATGCTGTTGCTGCAAACACCCCCTGCCCTTTGGGTCCCCTGCGTGTCTCCCTCAGGCAGTGGGAAAATGGCTCCTGGGGACTCTGCCCCCTTCCCCTGTGTTTTGCCACTAGTGGTGTCACCCGCCCTGCCCTTCCACTGCCCAGCTTCCTCGACTTCTCTCCTGTGCCCGCAGCTTCCTGGGCCTAGGGGGTTGGATCCAACCCTGATGTCTCGGCATCTTTCTCCATCCTTCCCTCCAGTATCCTCATGCTCCCTGCAGGCTAATCTTCCTCCTGTGAGAGCCGAGTTCCCAGACAGTGACCTGACCCAGGAAGACAGAGTAATCTATCCCAAAGAGAGCCGGGTCTAAGTCTCATCTGGACTTCAGCCCTCTGAATTCTCAACCACAGTAAAATTGAGGGTGACTGCGGGCTGGGGGTTTCCCTCTGCCAGTCAGGGCGGGCTCCCTGGCTCCCCTGGGAGTTGGGCAGAGCTGGACTGGTCTGTCCTGCCCCATGTAACTTCCACTCTTTATCTTCGTGAGTTAGGTCTGAGTCACCTCTTCCAAAAGCCCTTTTTCTCTGCTTCTCTCCGTGTCTTTCTCTGTCACACTGCAGCAACACCTCTGTCATGGCACCGGTCACAGTCACCTGTCCGTGCTCTTTGCTGTCCCCTGTGGGCAGCCTGGAGTTGGCTGGCCTTTTCCCTTGTGTGAGTTCTTCCTCCTCCTCTCCCCCCTGTATAGCCCATTTATCTCCCTTTCTTCCCCACCTCTTCCTCCTCATTCCTTCCCTTCCTCCTCTAAGATTTCACCACTCACCATAACTGCTAGTCCTCAGTGAATTACAACTCTGCCCACCTCCCATGCTAACCTCACTTAGCGGAGTATCCTGGGCCCACTGTACAGATGAGAAGATGGAGGCCCGCGGAGGTCAAGGAACTTGTTTGGAGCTGAGGCTCTAAGCATGGCAAGCTGTCTTCAGATCTGGGCCTCAACCTACCTTCCCTCCTCCCCTTGTGAGTTTGTGCTCTGAAATAGACCCAGCAATGTCAGAATGCCGAGTATTCGGCATGAATGTCATGACAGGCCCCTCCTCCTGGTCCCATCAGTCACGTGATGTTTAGGAATCTCAGGTCAATGTCTGCCCCAGCTGGGTAGGAGATCAGAGCAGGTGACCTCTAACCTTGGGAACCTCTCCCAGGATTGCCTCCCCTTGGCCTGGGCATGCCTTTGGGTGTGTGCTTATTAAAGCAAATCCTACTGGACCAGAGTTTCATGACTTGTTTTGGAGGATAGGCAAAACCAGAACAGAAAGATGAGATGCTTGGGCTTTTCTCATGCTCTGCAGTGGGCCGTGTCCTGCCTGCCAGGTTCTCACATGCAGTACAGGTAGCCAGGGCAGGGCCACTGGGTAGCATGTCCATTGTCATGTTCCCAGTTGGTTAATAGAGGGAGTGCCTGCAGGAATCACGTCTCCTCCCCCCAGTCATTAATCAATGAGAGGCTGCTTTGGGATAATATGCTTCCTGTTGCTCTCATTAAGAAGCCTATCACTTGAGACCCATGTATTCCCTGAAAGTTAGCTTTTATGGGAACACTTCTAGCAAGTAGTGCTTCAAATAAGCACAGCCTCCCTGTCCCCAAGTCTGGGACACAGCATGAGTTTACAGGGAGCCTTTGCTCCTGTTTCCTGGAGGCAATGATGCGGAGGAGTAACAATCTCTGGTGATGGAATTTGAGTTATCGACATCTTTGTCCAGGATGACGAAGCATGAACACACCAGATTCAGGTTATAGAGCGAATGGGATATTTTTTTAGCAGACCAACTTCAAAGCAGGGCGTGAGCATTAGAAAACACCAAATGCATTGCCTATTAGCTGACTGGAAGTTAATATAGGGATCAGGCACTGGTCTTTTCTACACTATGATGTTTGTTTCACAATGACTCTTTGCAGGTGTCATGCTAATTATGGGCTAAGACTGGGATGAGACAGTCTATATCTCCACCTGGAATCCTGTTATCTCACAATTTGGCCCATGCTACAATTCACCCAATTTTCTAAGAGTAGATCTTCAGACACAGTTTCTGCCTCCACCTCAGGTAGGTATTAAAAAAGCAATACTGACAGTGATACATGGTCAGATGGAGTATGTCCTGGGAAGTATGTCCTGGGAACTGACAAGAGGCAAGGGGAGGATTGGAGGTTTCCTTTCAATAGCAGCCCGTTAGGTAAAGAATAAACTCTGGCAGTGGAGTAGAATAACTGACTTAGAGAGAGTCAAAGTTACATTCCCAATCACATTGCATGTTTTTACATGGCAGAAAATCAGCATTTCCTTTCTAAGTAAAATAAACAAACAATTCAAGATAGTCAAAAGTTAAGTCTTTTTCAAGCACTCACGTAAGCAAGTGGAAGTCAGGCCACCGAGCAAGGGTCCGAGTTATCCGTCTGGGTCCAACAGCAGGGTGACCTGCAGGGGTCAGTTACAGAGGTGTCCGTCCTGGCCAAGGGCTGTGTGATGTTTCTCAGCAGTACAGCAGTAGACAGCGGCTCGCCTTCTGCAGCAATGTGCCTTGCTGAGGTCCCTCTTTATACTTTTCATCCAAGTTGTTTGTATCTTCTTATCATGACCACATGCCCCTCCTTGCTTCCCAAACTATGTTTATTAGATCTTTACATGGGACTGTTCTTTATCAGAGAACTCTATTGGTTTTAAAGGGGCTTGGCTTTCTGCTATGTTATCTTCCAAGTATCTTGGAGATTGGTAAATATGTTATTCTCAGTGATTGTGACTTGTAAGTTCAGTTATTCTATGAATGTTGGCCATTCTCTCTCTATGTATGTATGTATGTATGTATGTATGTGTTTTGTATATCCAGTCTGTAAAGTTGTGTCTTGTCAATACAAAGCTTTTCTGGGATATTGGAGTCAAAACAGGATTGCCACAGATTAACTTTCTTCTGTGTTCCACACCCTGAAATTTCACTCATCACTGGCACACATCAAAAAGAACAAGAACAACCAGTGCTGGTGGGGATGTGGGGAGAAAGTGACTCTCTTTCCTTGTTGGCGGGAATGCTGACTGGTCCAGCCTTTTTGGAAAAGAATATGGGAATTCCTTAAAAAACTAGAAATTGAGCTTTCCATATTACCCAGCAATATCACTTCTGGTAATATATCCCAGAGATGCAAAAAAGCACAATAGAAATGACATCTGCATCTGTATGTTAATTGTAGCACCATTCACAATAGCCAGAATCTGGAAACAACCCGTGTCTGAGAATAGATGACTGGTTAAAGAAACTTTGGTACATCTACACAATGGACTACTATGCAGCTGTTCAGAAGGATGAAGTCATGAAATTTGCTTATAAGCGGATGGTCATGGAGAGTATCATGCTAAGTGAAATGAGTCAGAAAGAGGGACAGACATAGAATGACTGCACTCATTTATGGAATATAAAATAAAATAACATAAAACTGACACCCAAGGACGTATAGACAAGGGCCAGGAAGATTGCTCCAGGGTTGGAAGCCTGCATAATGAGCTAGGGGAGAAGGCAGGTGGAATAGAGAAGGGATCATTAAGTCAATGATGGTTGGAGGGATTGTTAGGGATGGGAGATGTTTGCTGAAAGGAAAGGACCAAATGTGATAGCCTCTAAGTATCTATATTGCAAACCATAATGCCCCAGAGTAGAGAGAGAGTATAGGGCAAATTGCAATGAAGGCAGGGGAAGGGATGGTATGGGGGGGATACTTGGACATTGGTGGTGGAAAATGTACACTGATGGAGGGATGGGTGTTTGATCGTTGAATGAAAGAAACTTGAACATGAAAGCTTTGTAACGGTTTCTCATGGTGATTCAATTAAAAAAATAAGAAATTTCACTCATCACTATCAAAATATGGCTTAAGTGATGTCACTATATGTGATTGCCTTTGGCAACTGGAATCCTATTGTCCTTACTAGGCAATGTGGCACTGGCATCCTTTAAGAAGCTGGAGGACCCTTTTCTGGTGAAGGTAGATACAGGTGAGTCCACCAAGGGCTGCCTGTGGGCAGAGTTTCCTTTGCCCTTCACAAAGACTCTGCAGCTGGTGAGTGATCTGTCTTCCAACAATGAGGAGAAGCACAGAGCTTAAAGCACTAGAGAATAAAATCTAAAACCACTTGATGTAAAAATCTAGCATCTTCCCTCTTCCTCACATCTTTATACAACCGTTCCTTGTTTGGAGCTGGTGGCAGAGATAAAACTAAAGGTGCCTTACTGCAGTTACAAGTATGCTCTACTAAAAAAGGTAAAGGTAAAGGCCCTCCCGTTGATCGTCGATTTGCTCGAGCGGGCCCAGTAACGTCTCCATTGGAGACTTTGTTGTTACTGTGTCTGGCATATCAAATACTCTCGGTAGCTTGCCGGGCTCTCCGAGAGGGGCGGAGGAATCGAACTCGGGTCGGCCATGTTGGCCGCTTGTAAGGCGAATGCCCTACCCGCTGTGCTATCGCTCCAGCCCATGCTCTACTAGGTTTCATGAATGTGTATTTCATAGCCCACAGAGGATTTCAGGCATGATGGTCTCAAGTGTCCCATGCTGCTCATCATGGTATTATGTGTTTCTATCTCTCTGTCTTTTTCTCTCTTGTATTCTTAGTTCTGGTTTCTTCTTCTTTCCTCCTGTAGTTTCTCTATGATGGGGATAAACATATTATCTCATATCAGAGGAGAGACTTTCCTCTTGTTTAGTGTGAATTTTAGCCCACCAAAGTTTCTGTGTGGGATTTCCTGTCTTGGGAGTGATTTCACAGTCTGGGTGGATTTCAGCATGCAGAGCAACAGTTTGTTAATGCACAAAATCTGGATCCTATGCCATCTGCTGGCTTGACTATCTTTCCCTTCAGGGTGGGGGACAGTTTTCAGAAAAAGGAAGTAGGACTCCCAACCACATCTATAATTGCTTGGGTATTTGTGTTTATGATTCGTTACTGGTCTTTGCAAGTTTTGAGTCCTTAAGTCAATTTGGAATTCATACCTAATATTTCTTCAAGGCTTTCAAATTAAATATCAGAAAATGTTTCATTACCCCTTCATTAAGAGTTTGTAAAATCCTCTGTAGTACTCATTTTTATCTTTGGATTGCTTAATTTTTATTTACATACCGAACCTCAAGGTTTTTTTCTTGGTAATTCTTGTTGGAGAGCTCTCTCTAACTAATTAATATTATTAAAGACCAGCTTTGTATTTTGTGAACTCTTATTATTTTAAAAGAAATCTGTATTTCACTGAATTTTGCCTTAGTTTTCTTCTCATTCTTTCAAACTCTATAGGCTCTCCTTTGTTGCTCTTTAAAATTTTATTGTATTAAATGCTTAGCTTTCTTATTTCTAAAGAATTTCTAGTATTCATTCATATTCTTGGATTTTAATTTGTTTTATCTAAATATGTAGTACAAATTATTCATAGTTTATATCTACATAAATATAGTACATAACTATGTTTGCATATCTGTCACTATCCTCTTCTCCCGTTGTTCATCGATTTGCTCGAGTGGGCCCAGTAACATCTTCATTGTGACACTTGTTACTGTTTTGGGCATATCGAATATGTCACAGGTAGCTTGCCAGGCTTTGCCGAGCAGGCGAGATACTCTAGGTAGCTTGCCAGGCTCTCTGAGAGGGGCGGAGGAATCGAACTCGGGCCGGCCATGTTGGCTGCGTGCAAGGCAAATGCCCTACCCGCTGTATAATATAAATTTTTAATAAAGATTTTATATTTCGGAGAGCCCGGCAAGCTACCAAGAGTATTCGACATGCCAGACACAGTAACAACAAAGTCTCCAATGGAGACGTTACTGGGCCCGCTCGAGCAAATCGACGATCAACGGGAGGGCCTTTACCTTACCTTTACCTTATATTCTCAGTTACTAGCTTTTTTATATTTCTTAATTTCCTTTATAATTGCATTTTTCTAACATTTCTAACATTCTAACATTTCTAGCATTCTAACATTCT